CTCTTGGCACGGTCCGTACCGTATTGTCGGCCAAGTCGGGGAGAATGCGTACAAGATCGCAATCCCTAAACACCCCGACCGGGTCGTTGCTGTGAACGTGAATAGGTTGAAACGCTTCCGTGGTCGCTGGAGTCGACCGTTCGCGGACGAAGTGCCTAGAAGAATAGCCGAGAATGTGGCTCGTGGGAGTGATACCGGCGAAAATGTGGCCGCTGGGAACGAGACGAATGATGATGCAGTCATCGAGGATGATGACGAGAACGAATTGCTATTGGAGGCGGGACCACTACAAGAGGAAGATCTGCCCCAGTCAAGTTTTGTAGAACGAGTGTCGATCGGGGGTGAAGAAACAGCTTTCACGGGCGTCTCGTCGCCCATTGTGGACGTCGTTGCTAAGAGGGTGGATAAGGGTGAGCTGCAGTACCTAGTACTGACGGCCACGTACGAGACCTTTTGGTTACCTCGAACCGCTCTGTTCCCCGAGTTCGGAACTATGATAAGCGTCTTTGAGGAAGCAGACCGCAAGAAGAAGGGTCTCCCGGAGATACGTCGGAGTGTCAGGTTGGTCGAAGCCAACGCTGATGTGGACGACGCGGAAGTGTTGTTCTAACTGGTCCTTTGACTGGTTGGAACGAGTAAAGCTGGACCGCTTCACTCTTGTTGGTGTTTGAGAACGAGTGAGTCTCGAAACACTGGACTGTATTTTGCATTTCCATATTGGAACGCTACGAAAAGAGACACTGGGAAAGTGATATGGGGTATCGACGGAGCACAAGACCCTTCGGCGTGATGGTTATGCCCGGGATTGACAAAGTTGGAACAAGGAAAGGTTGTCACGAGAGGCGATGTCGACTAACTGGACATCGAGGAGCGGTAAAGACTTGTAAAGCGGGGACTAAACGGATATATTCGAGACGAAGAAACAAGAAACGGAACGAGGGATGGAAACGAATCCGAATGAGAATCTACTTCTTGGTGGTCTTCCCCTTGTCGGCTGAAACCTTCTTGGGAACGACCTTCTCACCGTCTTCCCCGTCGTCGGCCTCAGCGTTATCCTCCTCGTCATCGTCTTCGTCGTCTTCCCCCGGTTTGTACTCGTCTTCGTCGTCGTCTTCGTCGTCGTTCCCAGCTTCTTCGTCATCGTCCTCTCCGTCGTCAGGGTCGTCATCGGCACTAGGGGAGTCAGCAGTAGCAGCGGTCACGACCGTGGAAGTTGGAACGGCAGCTTTGGCCTCGTCTTCGTCGTCCTCTTCGAGATCGGACCAATCGGCACGTCCGGATTCCGTCGTGGTCGGTCCCTAAACTTCGGGGAGCTGGTACGAGCCACTCTCCAACTCGGTTGCGACAGTCGGTTGGGTTTGCTTCACCAGGGCGTTGTCCATAAGGGTCTTCCAAGACTCGTCACTAGTGGATCCCACCAAGGTGTCACGAGGCGTCGCGGAGGACTGAAGATCGAGCCGAATGCGTGCCAAAGCCACCATGGAGAGTCGATTGGCCGGCTTTACCGTAGGGACCAAGGCCTCGGTCGTCTCTACAGGACGCGGATACTCGGGTACCCGTACGCGTCGATCTGCACGGGCTCCAGAGCGTTGTCGATGGTAGCCTGATATCGACCCGGATCCTTGTCTTCGAGCGAAGTTAACGTGTCCGCGAGAGGTCCGTCGTAGTGCAGGCACTTCTTGTTGTCACGACCGGGTTGGCCTTCCATCCAGAACATTAGCGGGCACTTGTCGAGTAGCGTGGAACCCGTAAAAGCCCCAAGTTTCGATACACAAACTAATGAAGGCCACTCGAGCCTGTACGGCACGCTTCTTGGCCTTGCGACGATTGTTCTGCGCCGTCTCCGACGCCAAGGGCGCGTACAAGGCCCATTCCCAGAACGCTCGACGGTGACACATCCAGAAGCGCCAGTGACCCCGATAGATCGCGCGGAAACGAAGCGGGTTGTACCACTGCGGACGCCCCGTCCAAGGATAAGCGAGACACCAAGGCTTCTTTCCGGTCGCCCCCGCCTTGGCCAAGATGAAATAGACGACAGCCTTTACTGAGTCAGGGGCGTCGAGGTTCAAGTCGACCAGCGCCTTGTACTCGGCCGAAGGAACGAGCGAAGAAGTCGGCTTGTCTGGCTTGTCACTGCTCCGCAGCTTCTTAGACGACTTGATTGGGGGTGGCCCGTTGCGAGTTTTCCGCTTGCCGCGTACAGGCTTCTTTGCCGACGAAGTGGAGGAGGAGGTAGAGGATTTAGCTGGCGTGGACGGCTCGGGTGAGACTCCTGACGTTGACGGCATAGCAACCACGGGACCGCGCAATGCGATGGAGGGTCGACCTTCCAGGAGATCGTCGACCAACCGCTCCATGTGCTCCAGACCAGTGGAAAGGCCGTTGCCGCCCAAGTGCGCCTTCAACGCGTCCCAGAACTCCCGCTTGATGGTCTTAGCGTCGTCCCCTGGCGTTCCATGCTCGTCGTACTCTAGGGCCGCGTCGAAGAATCGCTTGAATCGCCGGCGCTCCGCGACAGTGAGGCGCTTGGACATGCTGACTGCTGAAAAGTTGTAGCTGGGAGGTGTTCTACGTGGAGATTGTTGGAAACTGAAAGATACGTCGCATTTGCTCGAATGATGGCTGACGGACGTTGGAAATAGGTCGCCCGCGACAGGGTGCAAAAATGGAACGAGATGAAAGAAAACGACTTGGGTGACACTGACGCCACTTGGGAAGGGGTGTCAACGGACGACGCCAGGATGACCTTTCCTGACTGACGCAACGCCAGTTTTAAATGATGGAAGTGCTGAGAAGCTGGGTCGATGGAATCGAAGCAGTGGCTCCCGTCGTGACGTTCCCGGAAATCGAAACAGGAGGTATGGTGGTCTGCGTCGTAGCTGGGATAGTAGTGTGGGTGGTCACGACGCCTTTACGCAATGTGGGATGCGCTTTCAGTGCGAGCCTAGTGGACTGTGGCTCTACCGTCTACTTCTTCTGGTATACTTGTAGTGACCGATTTGTCACTACCGTCCGTGGAGCCAACGCTCAAGAGCTGCACCCTAGAGAATATGCGTGCACTTTGGTCACGCTGATGTTCCTCGTTCCCATGGCGGTGTTACGAAAGTATGAACCCCGCTTCGGCATCTTTGGACTGTTGTGTCTCAGATGGTGTGAGGCTTGGCACCACTCGATCTGTCTCTTCGCTCCAGATGTGATGCAACTCGTGTGGAAGTCGTGCTGTCGCTACACGAAGGCGATAGCTGAGGCTACGGTAGCCTCGATCGATCGAGTAGGCGAGTACCTGATGGGCGTGTGTCTGGTGGGACAACTGTTGTTATCACTTGTGTTCTACCTGCCTAGAGTATTTACGAAGGCGTGGAAGGTGCCCTATGTGGTTGGATGGGTGTTGCCTTAGCTACCCTAGTGGTGGACGTGGTGCTGGAATTCTCGGTCGCGAGTCTCCTTGGGAACGTGTTCGTCTTGATACTGGGCTGTTATAGCCACGCTACGAGATACTACTGGGCGTCGCGGGTGAAGACTGTCGACGGCTCTGGAATTGAGACCGCACAAAAGGGTTGGGCCAAGCTTGAAAGTCGGAAGGAACTACGAGAAAGGAGAGAGAGAGCTAGCCTCGACCATTTGCGTGCAGGTCCTAATGATACGACCTCTGTGGTGCAAGGAAATTCGGATTCGACGTCGATTGGAACGAGGTCGATCGTTCCTGATCTGCCGGTTGACTCGGCGATTGGACCTGCTGGAAAGGATGAGGCTCGGCGAGGACTCCAAGCGGCAGTCGGGGAGAAATGTCACGGTCTTCGGCTAGAGGAAGGACTCGCTTATCTGGACGACTGCCTACGGCAATTTAGCGAGCGGCGTAAGAAGAGTGTCAAGCCCGACCAGTCTCGTTCCCCGTCGCCGACTACCTCGTCCCTAGTCTAAAATGGAACAAAGGAGTTCAGACAGTGGTACGCTGACTACGTTTACGAACGACAACTAGAGGTACCGGTGTTGGTAGGAGGTACTTTGGCAAGGTAGAGAGCTGGTGAGAGAGCTCTCAGTCGTGAATTTCCTTCTTTTACGAGAAGTGCTCAAGAAAAACAAATAAGAAACAAGTATATTTTACACATCTAATACGTCTAAGTCCCTACGTCGGCTTTCACAAGATACACGACCCCGACAAGAGAAGGAGACCGCGACAGTGCTTTGTGAGGCCTTGTTTAGCCTTGTTTACCGCTACACGAAATTAATGCAGCATACGTCATTGATTTAAGTATGGCGGTCGACAGGATGACATTCGAATACCTTCAGTCGATCTAGCAGACATGATCTTCGCGGCGCAATGCATGGTGTGACTTTGACTTCGCTAAATCCCCATACATATGAGGTAGCATCTGAAGAACTTCTGCGTTTGAAACCTTTTTTTAGAATAATCCCCACATCTACTATTATGGTCACAATCGCTATAATACTTGCCTCTATCTGAAGCTGGCGATGCGAACGAGCGTTCTCGTCTCCACAACAGCTCGCACGTTCTCATTTTGGATAAGCGCATCTAATATTAATAGCTGGTTATTTCTGGTATGATGCCAAGGCGAAATATGAGCGCGGTGTGGCTGCACACTGCCATTGTTCAACACATGATCAACCGGATTCAGAACACACGCCGTCACCTTAGGGCAGCGTGGGTGTCAGTCCAAGTCGAGTTTCAAGGTCGATACTCCGTAGACCGTCTTCAGAGTCTAGACTCGTACTCGAAATCAAAGAAAACGCCACGACTTCTAGCAGTACTAGCCTTGATGCCATTACCAAGCCTCGCAATCAGCTTACTTACAGAAGTGCCCCCTCTCAGCCCTCCAGAAACGGGTGTGTTTCACAACAAAGTTTTTTTCGTCCGTGGTTCGTTGGTGCTGGCTTTCATCAGTGGAAATTTGCTCCTCCAAATGGGCCACAGTGTACCTCAGGTTAGAATGACTTGGCGTCAAGTGATACTCTCTGCTTTTGTTGCAGCCACCATGTCCATGGCTATCGTTGCTGGGATAGCTGCTCTGACTGTCTTCCCGTTACCGTTCGGCTTACTCGCTGTGGGACTACCCAATGCCATCTTGATTTCAGCGTGCTTTATCTACATTTCGAGACCTCGATGGAGAGCTGACCCCACCCTATGGGAAGACGTCAAGCGACAGTTGTCGGTCTACAACTGCCTTGTAGCACTTACCTTCATCTACCCGATCTACATTTTCGGATTTGTCTCGCTTACTGGCGTTTACCAAGCGATGTTCGTAATGATACTACCTATTATTCAAATTGCAGCGAAGAATTGGATCAGTCGTCAACACACAGACAGCGATCGCAAGCCCGAAAGCGTTGTTTTTATTGTGGAGATTTTTAACGCTCTTTACGTCACGAATGCACTCAATAACGCGTCGTCGTGGAAAACAACAGCAACGATTATAACCTTAGATTTCTTGCAGATTTGTGCGTCCATGCTTGACATTCTTGACGCTTTGAATGAGATGAAGACCCTCTTAGCAAAAATCCCTCATAACCATCCAATTGCGCAAGAGGATTTCGTGCACATAGCAGCGCGATTACTTGAATTGGAATCATCAAGGGTGGAAGAGTGCGTGAGTTCCACACGCACACAAGAGTCAAGCAAAGCCTCTGTTTCTAGAGATGCAGGTCTGGTCACCACTCTGACGGATATTACCTCATGCAACCACAAGTTGCTTTCAAAGAAAACAAAAGTTTTGCCGGTTCAAACGCAAGAGAAATTACCAAATAGGGGCCATGTGAGTCCGCTAGCCCTCAACAATACGGGCGGTCGGGATAAACCACTCGAGGCGATTTTTTCGTCTGAGCAACGTGCTCTTTTCATTCGCAAAACGACCCAAGTGCTCTTCATCACGGAATACATCGTGTTAATCGAGTTTGTTGAAGTGGTGCTCCCAATTGTCTACTGTACGTACTAAGAACTACGGAATGGTTTTTATGGAACTTTCATAATTCTTCGTTATCACCAGGTGTGCACCAAGTAATTCTGTATAACATGCCCAACCGAGCTTTCTATCCAGCACTTGCCGAAGTGTCCCTTACCGAACTTCTGGCATCAGTCAAGAATGTGCTTCTGTACAGCTCACTCGAGCTCGTTTCATTTTTAATGGTGCTCGTCGTCCTATACCGCACGTTGCATTTTTCTCCGCTTCATCAACTGGCATTCGTTCTTGAAACTCAGGCTTCGATGGTGCAATCCAAGTTGATGACGCTATTCGTGTATGTGATGCAGGTGCCGCTGGTCCATCTTGGTGAGTACCTGCGATGCTTTCGAACCGAGCTTTCCGATTCAACCTATCGTCACAACGTTTATACAATGATGCCGTTACCAGGAACCGACTTCACGTTTAAGTTTGCGTGGATTCACTCGGACGACACCATTGCAAGTTAAGGATTAATGGAATTACGTTTGATGCTATGAAGTAGTACAGTTTTCCTTGGTGATCGCTTTGAAAAGCAAACCGCAATTGTGCAGGTTAGGACAGAAGAATTTTCACATCCAGCGAAGCCTCGTCCGTTGATGACTTCAAAACTCTCAGACGTTCTGGTGAATAATCATTGCGGTACTATCACCCAAGCGTCCACGCCCTTGTAGTACCTGCATTGCGAGAAGTCCAATACAAGTTCCGAGGATGAATTCAGTAAGATTCACGTCACCGATTGAAGATCAAAAATGGTAAGGATAGATATTTTTCTTGAAATTTACATAATTAGATCACTTCAGCGAATTCACTACATAAAAACAAAAATAGACTGGTAAAGAAGGTTGAACTCTCCGTTCAGACAAATGAGTGTTCTTGCAAGTTGGAGACAAGTTTCCAATGTGGCGCAGAGGTTGCATCCCCGAGGTTGCTAGTCCGTCCAACGTCTACGCCGATTGAAATCTTACATGGACGGCTCGAACTGCTGGCGACTTGTACTGGCATGTCTTCTCACACCGCTGCCCTGTGTAGCCTTGGCAACACTGGTGGAATCTGTACCCCTCGATCCTCCTGAAGCCGGACCGTTTAAAAACTATATTTTCTGGATTCGAGCGTGGATCGTTACCGCGTTTGTGGATTACTCGATGGTCATGCAAATGAGTCAAAGTCTCGCACGACTGAAGATGAAGCACAGCCACATCGTGCTGATTGCTCTAGTTGGAAGCATTATTTCTTTTGGTGTTGTGTTCGTCGTGGCTGTGTGGATCTCATTCCCTGTTCCGTTCAGTATGCTTGTGGCTTCACCTCCAAGTGTGGTCGTTATCTTGGTTAGTATTGGAACTATATGGAGACAACGGTGGCGTTCTGATGCAGCTCTGCGCCGAGACCTCGCAAGACATACCATGGTTTTCCTCTGTCAAGTAACATTAACTTTCATTTATCCTCTGTACATCTTCGGTTTCTCCTCCGTCAGCGGTATACGGCAACTTTTCTATGTGCTTATGCTGCCAGTTATCAAGTCAGCGAGTAGGAATTGGATCGGCTATACCCTAGCCGGCCAAGACGATATCAAACCCGAAGTTGTTATATTCAATGTCGAAGTTTTCAATGCCCTTTACGTGTCGTCAGCTGTCCAAAACTCGTCATCACTCGGAACAACGATAGCTCTTATGCTCATTGATGTGCTACACTTTTGGTTTTCCATGCGTGGCACTATTGGAGCTCTAAAGAAGGTGAAAGCGTTGATGGCGAAGATTCCACCACATCATCCGGTTGCCAACGAGAATTTCGTCGAAGTGGCGCTACGAATCCTGGCGATTCAAGATCGCGCCGAGTCTCACGAACAGCTACGGAGGCGGTTGAATAACAAGGCAAAGCGCTCTTTGATACTTGAACCCATTCAGCCGTACAAGAACTCCAACGAGGATGCGTCGCTACGAGCTCCAACTGGCGCAGATTTTTATCGGTAGCTCGAGTCGGGTCGAGAGATGTGGGGATACGGAAGCGTCTGATGCGGAAAGCGTCCAAAGTTTTCCCTAGTACCCCATTTCAGCAAGCCAGAACGGTACATATTTCCTTCGGTCCGGGAACGGATTTTAAAAAATCCGCTGTGCCTTGTTTGGCACTGGAAGCCATTTTCTCTTGCCACGAGCGCGAGGAATTCATAAACACAACAACACACGTGCTGTATATCACAGAATATCTTGTGCTGGTAGAATACACGGAAGCAGTGCTCCCAATGGTTTACGGTACGCTATATACGTGCCTTTTATCTACAATCTTGTTTGTGCTAACGACCCATGTTTGTAGCGCTGTACTCGATGATCGCTTATCACGTGCCAAACTGTACATACAACCAATCGCTCGCAAACCTGTCAAAGCACGAACTATTCACGAATGTTAGCTTTGTGGTGGCTTACAGTATGCTGGAATTGACGTCGTTGATGTTGGCGATGTTCGTTTTAAAACGCGTATTGGGCATATCACCTGTACACCAACTAGGTTTTGTTCTGGAGACTCAAGCGACAATGATTCAATCCAAGTTGATGCTCTGGTTTGTTTACGTAATGCAAGTTCCACTGGAACACGTAGGTAAGCACTTATTTGTTTTATTTTGTTTTATGTTTGAGATATCTGAGTATCTACCTTTAAGGCACCGATTTTAGCTTTAAGTTTAAATGGTCCCATACTGCTCATCACGAGAAGGTAGATTGAATTTGAAACGTCATGATGCCATAATTGGAAGGAGACGACATCGACTCCGTCAAAAAGATGCCCCACAAACTCACAGGATTTTATATCCAGAGTTCCTTCCGGTTGTAACGAGGCTAGAATCCTTTAATTATTGATTCCTACACTCAACTCGATACGCTCTTATTTTTAATCATTCGTTTTTGTAATTTATAATAGCTTTCTCGTTTTTTATCTTACCTTGCAGGCTTACCCATAGCTCCTAAATAAATATAAATACAGCTTCTGTTAAGGATTTTTCGATACTTTCGCATAACATCCTTGGATGATATATTTTTATGTCCGTAGCACACACATTTGCTAAAAAAAAAAAAGGTTTGTGTGGTGTTGGCTGTCATTGCCATCCTTGTGCACGCGGAGGAATTTGGTGTCGCTTGAAGACTCAACATGACATGGAATCGAATCGATAGGCAACCTCAAAATAATCTGATCGGTTCCAGTAGCTACAGACACGACACGACGATAAAAATGGCACCAAGAAACGATTAGCCGGTGCATACTGCGAAGTCGCTGAGCTGATTAGGTATGGTGCAATGTGAGGGCTGATGGAAAATAGCCGACTGAAATGACACAAATTCCACTTTGATGTTCATGTGAATACATTGACTCCCATTTATGCTTTTATCGTGCACCTGACATGCTATAATCATGACTGTTTAGAAATATCAGAGCTCTTCGGTTCGAGTGCATGTTCCGTACTGATGGAAGTATCATGGTTTGTACCTACCCGATTTTGCGTTATCTTTTGGGGCATGTAGCTTTTAGTATGATGTTGCTCTGCAGTTTACAGTACAGAAGTCCCCCTGAATAAGCGTGATTTGCACCTCATATACCATAGCGTTTCCGATCACATAGATTGAAGGTACATTTGACATAATTTGTCAAATGTTTATTGAAATAAAAAACTGTGCTATTCCTGTTAAAAACATATCAGACGGCCCCTTCGCTTATTTGAGGGGGACTTTTGTAGTGTTAACACCTCGCTACGAAACAATCACGCTGGTGTTGATGAGGATTCATTAGCTACAGAAATCACGCAAATCTTGATGACTTCAAGTGACTGACATTACGCAACATTTTAGGCTCGCACATCCTTTTGATTTATCTAAGTTGCTAAAATCAAAAGCTACATTTCTTTTTCTAAATTCAAGTTCTGTACACTTTCGAATAATATTGTTAGTTTAACCACTTTTTAAGTGCTCTGAAGAATAATACACATTGTGTTACATTACCGCACTATCGGTATAGTTGAATCGATATGTACACATAAAAAATTGGAACATGCTTGCTCTACATCAACATGTTGCAAAACAAATTTAGAGCTGTTCCGTGTTGTGTACGGTCTACTGCAAATCAGTCATCAAGATCTGCGTGATCTTATTGCAATAGAGTGTCATCCAAGCACTTTCACAGCACAGCCACTCTACACAATACGAGCTCTTATCCACTAAGTTTTGACATGGTATTGCACGGCACGTGGTAAGAGCCCGGCCTGTACCTTAGTATTGTATCAGCTTAGAGCATGACCCTATGTCGAACGCACCCAAATGCTTCAATTTCCGATTTCCTAGCCAACGCGCAAGCACGCTACATAGGACCATGCGCGCTTCGCCCATCGCCATAGCTTTTCTCATGGCCATCTCCACAGCAAGTGAAGCCACTGTCGCTAACTCTGATCGTGCTAGGAAATCATGACAGTATGAGGAACAACCACCGATTCCTGAGGGACAACGAAATTGATATCGAAGCCGAGGATAGAATGGCCTGGTCCTTTAACTTTAAAAGTGATGGACTTGCGGACAGGATTATAAGGGCCACGCAGTGGGATTCAAAGGTCGCGATTCTCAAGGATATGAAGGAAGGTCAGATGAACTACGCGTTCGACGACTTGGTACGAACCATACAATTGTTCATCCCCAGTTACGAAGCAGGCATAACAAGGGCGCGTTTATCAGGATGTTAAGAAATTCCGACCTTGATGAACACGTCCAGTCTCTCATAAAGCGTGTTTATCTAAAGCAGGCAGCCTTCGGAGCCCAAGGGAGAGCGTCCGACAAGTTGTATCGTATACTTAGCTGAAAAGTTGTAACATTGCTGGTTGACCCTTAACACCCAGGGCTGTCTTATGCCCATTGCCGAAGAAAAGTCCCGGTCTTACAGCACGTTAAGAAAATACAGCAGTTATTTTTTATCTTTCCAGCACGAACTTATGTTTACAATCACAGACTAACTCGCTATACTCTTCTCTCACAACGATACCGCTGAGCTCAATAGTTTGCAAACAACAGCTCGACAGAACTTCCCACTTATACTTATGTGTTACAGGGAAGTTGCTCAATAAGGGTCTTATCCTGGTAGTGCTACGAATTCGAGATTATGTGCCCACACCAATAGTAGGTATCGATTCGATACAAATTTCAAATGAGAAGGTTTTCTTTTTCTACCAATTTGTATAAACTTCACAGGTTTCACTCCAAGTAAAAATTTGGCATGGGTATAAACTTATAGAACCTTGGTGTACGAAAGATAATATTGCTTACTTCACAAATGCTTGGAGATGTTTTTTAAAAAAAATATTTTTTTCGGGTTTTCCTACACGGCTACCGGTAGGTGTTGTGCTAGAATATCACTATTATCGTATTTGTAGATCTTAATAACTATTAAGAGGTCTGTAAACAAAGCTGTCGACCTCTAGCCCTTGTTCGGTAGAAGCTGCAGTAGTTTCAATGCCTTGCTGCTGCCACTTGACGCAGCATCGAGACGCTGAGGATCCTGGACATGGTGATTTTGGAGCTCTCGGTATTTTTCGCGAAGTGACAAGTCCGCTCGTATGTGTCGTTAGGCCGTATCGGGCCAGCCGCCGCGGGCGTCACTAGTGGTGGACTCGACCGGCCCAAAACTTCCCCGAGCAGAGCGAGATAAGTAAATAAGTGGACGATAAGAAGACGAGCAGAAGAGTAGAGTAGAGCAAAGATAACCGAAGCAGCTCACTCAACGCCGCGGCGACGAAATATAGTGCCCTCGGGCGGTGGTCGCCGCAGCTGGTGAGCTCGCTGAGAAATTGTGGTTGTGAGCTTTTGAAAGAAACAATCTTTCCGGTGATAGAAAATGATAACCTCACTCAAATCGTATTACCTTCTTAAACAGATTTACAAATTCTGGGTTTAGTGTGGTGATGCATCTTATCTGTATATGATTGTTAGAGCAGATATCCATCCGATTTACAAGTGATCGAGTCTAGTTTTAAAAATAAGGTGTTAAAATCTGCAAAATGTAAAGCAGCAAGAACTCAGGACCCTCCCGGCTGATTGGAAATGAATACGAATTTGTAAGTTTCCATTAAAAGTAGTGCGTTTAAGAGAACAAAAGACCCCGCTGAGTAAGGGAGTTGGTGCGAAGCCTTTGGCTTTCCAGGTCTACTAGCGCTGCGCAGCAGCACTACCAGCCCAACCCTCTAGCTCGGATATAAATTTTCGGGTTATTATTATACGGACACTGAAACACCCCTTTGCCCTTTCGAAAATCCTAGCTGCAAGCGGGGTGGAGCTTTCTACTGCTTCTATCAAAGTATGCCACGTGTACATGTATTCTATTGTGCCTCCGCATCGACGCATCATTTAATTTATCTGCGACTTTCCGCTAATGAGTCTACATTTACTGCGTAATTTAGTAGTACACGTCTTTGGGCAAAGTGTGAAGAAAAAAAGTTACTAAGTGTGTTGAATGTACTACGTACAGGAGTGGTATGCAAGGTTCCTAAAAGTTAGTCGGCTTCGTAAGTCTCGTTCATAGTTCTGCTCTGTAGGGATAAAGTCACTGTTCATGTCTTAGACGTATTCTACCGGAATCTTGGCTAATCTGCTCTACTCTAGCCGGATGCTAGGGTTTTTACGGAACTTGTTGTAGCGTCTGACGATCTTAAGGATATCGATAGGTCTCCGGTGAACTTGCAGCATAGCCCACGCGACATCACGCTTCCTATAATCCATACGCTTCCAAACTGCGAAGGCCTTGAAGAGCTCGTCGTCGCTGTTTACCATAGCGTTATACTTGTCGGCATTACGTAGCCACAGTCTTTCGATTTTCTCGGCGGCAGCCAGATTAACACCTATTTGGACAGGTCGATCGCTCTCTCTTGGTTGTCTTTGTCATCCAAATGTGAGCGAAGGAATCTGATGTCGTTCGTGTTTCCAACAGGAGAGGGGACCACATCGATAGGCACCCTCAGATTCGGAACCCGATCGGTTCTTGCAGCCACAATTGCGTTTGGGCTCATGAAGATTATAATAATGGCACCAAGAAAAGCAATTGACTGGCGCATAATCCGTTTTCACTTGAGCTCTATCGAGCAGGTGCGCCTTGAGGGTAAGATGAAAAATTGCCGAATGAATCGACATGAATTCATGAATGCCTTGCTATAGTGACGGATTGATATCCTGTACAGGTCAGTCACAATGCAAAAGCGAGCTCACTCTGTCAGCAGTGATTACTTTCGCCTGTACGTAATCATGATAAGTTGGTACTGTAGTCAGAATATCCTACCGTACTTATTGTGCAACGCAGATATTTTTTGCCGATATTTTAGGTGCTATAAACAAAATGCTACGAGCTTTGCAGCTCGTAGCACTCCGAAACATGACAAGTGAAATTTGTGGTGTCAGGCAGCCTGCAGAGAGTAGCCACCGGGTAGGTCAGCTAAATTCTACAGCCGTCGAGCAGTTGGTGATCACAAATAACAGTTCGCCATATGTCGCAACGTGGAGTACGCCGGTTATTGCTTCGTGTTGATAGAGTACCGATACCTCGTGGGCAGTAAGAAATGGCAATCAAGAATAGTCTCCTATACAATATATAAGGAAGCTATAAAAATAATAACTTGGACAGTGTATCTTCACTCTTTCCAGCTTATGCATGATTCAGAACCTCTATTTCGACAATACCTTGAAAATTATATTCATACCAGGGCCTTCTTGAGGCAAAATACAGTATTTGTTTATCTCGCAAAAAACTACACACCTATATTACCCTACCAATCCGTGTAAGTTTCTCAAAAAAAGAAATACCTTTATTCTGGGTAATTGTTTACAACGGTGAAGGCCCAGTGAGCTCAGAGTTTTTAGGTTCGTTTTCCTGTCCGGACATTATCGCTGTCAGTCACTGACAAAGCTCTTATAGTAATGAGTACATCCTTGCTAAATATCCGTTCTAACCCTATAAAAAATATCCGCCTATATTTTAAAACATGTAAGACTGTGACGCGATGCTTTCGTTTAGAGAAAAGAGGTCAAAATTCTGTTTCGATTGGCAACGTCGACAGGATCGGATTAGCACGTCATCGAGTCTTGTCCCAATACGAATCGATCGATCGAATCCTGGTCGGAGTCCTGCCTTTTGGTTCCGCCTTGTGGAATGACCTGTTAAAACTTATATTAGTGTTCGCACAAACACTAAATGTGTTGTTAAGGAGTCTATTTGCCAACCGTTTGTTGTAAATGTAGCTTACATGTTGGTGGAGTTAGACTAGTTCCTCGTCAGCTTCGACATTATGCCAACAAACTTTATTTGCACAATGTATGACGGGGTCACACAGCACCTTGCACAGAGGGAGTGCTTAAGGGTATTTACTACCCGAGTGACCGTTTCTTCACTTGTTCTCGGCCCCAGTGGGAACGATTTGATACTTAGAAGAGTAGCTTCAAGACTGATGTATTTATAAGAAAGCTTACTTGGGTTCCATTACAAACTATATAAGGCAAAGTGTCAGTTTCGTTGCCTCGACCAGTTTAGCAGCCTCGGTCATATTTACATGCTAGACCGATGCCAAAGATCGTAATTGGTTAATATTGAGCTAGCGAAGTTTCACCTGTTCTCCTCCAGCAGTTTATACTCTGGCCACACTTTCGCTTCTCCACCATGAGCAAAATGCGCGCCAAGTACAGCGAAGCAGAGCTCCATTGCGCCGTCCAAGCCGTTCTCGCTGGCACAGAGTTAAAGGCAACAAGTGAAGAAATAAGATCGCGCATAGTACGCTAAAGCAAAACGTGGCTTCTGCACGTAAAAACAATCCTCACGAGTCCAAGCCTCCAAAGCTTTCGAAGAGTGCCGAAAATGGCATTAGAGACTGAATCCTTCAGCGACAGATGACCGGCCATCCTGTCCGACGGCAAGATGTCTTGCACAGGGCACAGCAGATTGCTGAGATCGTGTGTGGTGTGAGTGTAGGTGAGGGGTTGGCTGCGGCGCTTCATTTTGCAGCTGTGATATTTTCCCGCCTTCATGTCCTAACGTGCACGCCAAGCTGGTCAACTTCAAGCGAAATGGTTCGCCTCAATCTTACTGCAATACAGCGTTCGTCAAGGTCTCTAATATTCTTCACCAAGCGATTTTTAGTGCCTCCTGCACCACGACTGAACAAAACAAGGAAGCGGAAGAGAACAAAGACGTCCGGTCGCATACTTACTCGTGAAAAGACTTAAGAAAAAGACTGAAGTGCCGACGACGAAGCCTTCGCGACGCAAGAAACCGGTAGGACAAAAAACGGCAGTTGAGGCACTGCCGCCCTTGTTAAAGGCGTGGATTCAACCTTAACCCCTCTGTTGCGGCCAAGAGCGCGTGAACCACTAATTTTACGTCATAACTTACGGCGTAGCTTTTACCAGCGCGTTTGTATGGTGCTGTATCTTCCACTCGGCTATCCAGCACGATGGGAGGTATATGTTCTCAAAGGTTTTGACACACTATGTCGTATATCATACGACGTAAGGATGACTCGATGAAGCGGAGAAAAATGCAACGTGCGGTATATGACGACGAGCACCATTAACAATGAAACGAGCTCGAGTGAGCTGTACAGAAGCACGTTCTTGACTGATGCCAGGAGCTTGGTACGTGACAGCTCCGCAAGTGCTGGATACAAAACTCGATTGGGCATGTTGTACAGAATTACTTGGTGCACACCTAGAATTATGTAAGTTCCACAAAAACCATTCCGTACGTACAGTAGACAATTGGGAGCACCACTTCAACATACTCGATTAATACGATGTATTCCGTGATGAAGAGCACTTGGGTCGTTTTGCGAATGAAAAGAGCACGTTGCTCATACGAAAAAGTCGCCTCGAGTGATTTATCCCAATCCACCGTATTGTTGAGGGCTATTAATAGTGGACTTACATGACCACTGGTTGGTAATTTATCTTGCGTTTGAACCGGGAAAACTCGTGTTTCTTCGAAAGCAACTTGTGGTTGCATGTTGTAATCTCTGTCAGAGTTGTGACCAGACCTGCATCTCTAGCAATAGAGGCTTTGATCGAGTCTTGTGTGCCTGTGGACCTCATGCACTCTTCTACCCTTGATGATTCCAGTTCAAGTAATCGCGCTGCTATCTGAGCGGTTCCCTCTTGCGCAATTGGATGGCTACGAGGGATCTTTGCTAAGAGGGTCTTCATCTCATTCAAAGCGTCAAAAATGTTAAGCATGGACGCACAAAACTGCAAGAAATCTAAGGTTATAATCGTTGCTGTTGTTTTCCACGACGACGAATTATTGAGTGCATTCGTGATGTAAAGAGCGTTTAAAATCTCCACAATAAAAAGAACGCTTTCAGGCTTGCGATCGTTGTCTGTGTGTTGACGACTGATCCTATTCTTCGCGACAATTTGAATTATTGGTAATATCAATAGGAACATCGCTTTGTGAACGCCGGTAAGCGGGACAAATCCGAAAATGTAGATCGGGTAGATGAAGGTAAGTGCTACAAGGCAGTTGTAGACCGACAACTGTCGCTTGACGTCTTCCCATAGGGTGGGCTCAGCTGTCCCTAAATGTAGATAAATCACGCTGATTTTAAGATGGCTTTGGGTAGTCCCACAGCGAGTAAGCCGAACGGTAACGGGAAGACAGTCAGAGCAGCTATCCCAGCAACGATAGCCATGGACATGGTGGCTGCAACAAAAGCAGAGAGTATCACTTGACGCCAAGTCATTCTAACCTGAGGTACACTGTGGCCCATTTGGAGGAGCAAATTTCCACTGATGAAAGCCAGCACCAACGAGCCACGGACGAAAAAAACTTTGTTGTGAAACACACCCGTTTCTGGAGGGCTGAGAGGGGGCACTTCTGTAAGTAAGCTGATTGCGAGGCTTGGTAATGGCATCAAGGCTAGTACTGCTAGAAGTCGTGGCGTTTTCTTTGATTTCGAGTACGAGTCTAGACTCTGAAGACGGTCTACGGAGTATCGACCTTGAAACTCGACTTGGACTGACACCCATGCTGCCCTAAGGTGACGGCGTGTGTTCTGAATCCGGTTGATCATGTGTTGAACGATGGCAGTGTGCAGCCACGCCGCGCTCATATTTCGCCTTGGCATCATACCAGAAATAACCAGCTATTAATATTAGATGCGCTTATCCAAAATGAGAACGTGCGAGCTATTGTGGATACGAGAAACGTTTTACGTTCGTTCGCGTCGCCAGCTTCAGTTCGAGGTAGTATAGCAATTATGACCATAATAATAGATGACGTTGCTCGTGGAGATTATTCTAAAGAAAGGTTTTAAAAGCAGAAGCTCACCAGGCTCTTCAGATGCTACCTCATAGGTATAGGAATTCAGCGAAGTCAAAGTCACACCGTGCATTGCGCCACGAAGATCATCTCTGCTAGTTCGACTGAAGGTATTCGAATGTCATCCTATCGACCGCCATACTTAAATCAACGACGTATGCTGCATTAATTTCGTGTAGCGGTAAACAAGGCTAAACAAGGCCTCACAAAGCACTGCTAGGAAACCTTTCTTTTGTGATGGTTGTATATGACTTATGAGTGGGAACCCTCTTTTATCAAGCCGGATCGCAGCGTTTTACATTCCGCAATAAAGACTTTCTAAGCTCTTTGGAAATTTCTCCGAGTATTTCTTCGACCCCAGCTCACTCTTACATAGTAAAATATAAGAAAAGGCGTAAGCTAAGCGCATGTGCCATAGCCTCGAAATGGAATACACCTTGAGTATTTACAGCTTAATTTCCACTTGATTTTTAGTGTTCTCCTCTCATAGCGCATCTTCAAGTCTAAACTGAAAATCTACAGCCACAAGAAAAGTAACTATGACAACGCGATCAGCTTGGTGGATATTGCCTGTGACTCACTATTAAACACTGGGGCGATACACAAGTAACATATTATTATTTCGAAGCACAATTTTCGCGACATAAATTTGCAGGCAAAGCAGATTATTCGCGGGCAGTTTTCAAATTTATGCTCATATACATGGGGGCAAAGTCAGTGAGCTGCAAGTACCAACGGTTAGCAACGTGTACACTGTTTGCGGTCCAATAGGTAAGGCCGGCAAGATGAAATAGCCACGCTCTAGCTCAACGCAGCGACATCCCGTTACTTCCTGATTTCAATCGGACCGTTTTTCGAGCTACCTAAGGGATCTCTTACAAGGAATGAGGCAGAGCTCAAGATTTTTTTTGAAATACTCGCAATTTTGGGGTTTGGAATGGTAGCAAAAAAAATAAACTTTGATGGAAAAAAAGGAATCGGTCCAGGTTGGCTACTTGTTAACGTGACTCGCGATAAGATGGCCCACATACAAAAATTAGAAAGTTGTCGCTGCGCTGGGGCTGTCCATGGCATGAGTACAGGATAAGGTCCCCTTGAAGTTTGCCGGCGGCAAGGGCCGCTATACGCCACCGAGATGCGGCGCTTCGGGTGTTTGCACATTGTTGTTGTTGTTAACGGTAAATGCCGAAGTGAGTAGATTAAAGTCAATTAAATCTGTCCTCTAAACTTCAGTGCTCCTGGCCATCCACCAGATTAACCGGTTTGGGACCGGTCCATCGTGGAACGTTCAGCCGGTTAATTAAACCGTGCAGAGTCGGTGTGAATTAACACTCCCACTCACCGCTACTGCACGACGTTCGTCTTCGTTAAGAATCGCTACTCAGCGGCGTTCCTCTTCTTGATCCCGCTTGCCTCGCGAAGGAACGCTAGCGATTTCGTTCCAAGCGGCTTCGTCAGCATGTCCGCAAGTTGGCGCTTCGTGTCGACGTAGTCCACCTTGATCGTAGAGCGTTCCACATTCTCCCGAATGAAGTGATGTCGGATATCCACGTGCTTGGTCCTAGCGTGATACCCAGCGTTACTTGCAAGTGCGATAGCACCTTGATTGTCCTCCCAGACCTGCGTCGCTCCCACTTGCTCGTGACCCATGTCCTTGAGAATAGCACGTGTCCATAGTACCTCTTGCGTACACAGACTCAGAGCCATGTACTCTGCTTCCGCTGAGCTGAGTGCAACAGTTCTCTGGTACTTGGACTTGAACACAACCGGAGCGTTCCCAATCATGACCATGACACCTGATACGGAACGCCTGTCGTCAATGTTGCTTCCCCAGTCTGCGTCCGTGAACGCCTCTGCCTTGACACCTTGCGTTCCACTTTGGTAGACGATACCGTGCTGCCGAGTTGTCTTTAAGTATTGCAGGACCCGTATCGCTGCCTTCCAGTGTTGCGTTCCAGGATTTTCCAGGAAGCGTGACAGCTGCGTTACAACGTACGCAATGTCCGGTCGAGTGCATGTTGTGATGTACATCAGGCATCCGATCAAGGAACGGTACGGTCTTGACTGCATTTCACGTCGTTCCTTCTCCGTGGCTGGCGACATCATCTTCGACAGCTTCATGTTGGACGCGCATGGGTTATCCAACATCTTGGCGTTCCGTTGGTTGAAGCGTTCTACAATGTCGTCAATGTACCGAGTTTGCTTGATCATCAGCGTTCCAGCTGCCTTATCATGATCAATCTCCATCCCCAGGATGAACTTTGCCTCGCCAAGCTCTTTCATCTTGAAGGCACTCTTCAGAGCACCCTTTACTTCGCGAATCTCTTCGCGTGCACTTCGCCGCAATGATCATGTCGTCCACATACAGGCACACGTACACGAATGCGTCCCTGGAACGCTTGACGTAGACACACTGGTCGGCTCCACAACTCTTGAAACCGTTCCGCAGGAACACACGATGGATAGTCTTGTTCCATGCACTTGCAGCTTGCTTCAAACCATATATGGCCTTTAGCAGCTTGCACTTCATGCGTTCAGCGTTCTCGAGACCTAGTGGAACGTCCATGTCGACCAAATCCACCAAACCACTGTTTAGGAACGCTGTGTCAGCATCCAGTTGCTCCATAATGTAGTCGCATGCCACACACACAGCGAGTACAACTCGAATCGAGTTCATGTTTGCAACAGGAGAATACGTCTCAAAAAAATCGATTCCAAACTTCTGCTTGAACCTTTGAGCTACTAGGCGTGCCTTGTAACGGATAACACGACCGTTCTCGTCACGCTTCTTGGTAAACACCCAGCGACATCCAATGGAACGCGTAGCCGTTCCACATGGAACCAACGTCCACGTTCCGTTCTGGGAATGAGAGTGTAACTCAGCCTTCATAGCCCGACGCCATTCAGCTGCTTCATCACTGGCGATAGCTTCTGCGTACGTGTTCGGCGTATCCGAAACGCCTCCGATGCTGGCCGCGTATGCCAACACTGCCTCTGCGAGTAAACAGTCTTCATCGATCCTAGGACGCTTAGGAGACGGCGGTCCATCACTACCTCTTTCAGACTGGCGTTCCACATCGTCATCGTGGCCGTTCCCAAGCAGAAACACCGGCTCCCGAGGTCGGGTTGAGCGTTCCGTTTCAGGATGGAAGATTATCCGGTCCTCTTGGAACGCAGGAGGTTGTGAGCGGTACGTTGCCAGCTCCAGTCCACTCGAGCGGCGTTCCTCCGGTGCGGGTAGCTGTGGTAGCCCGGCGTTCCGTTCCGGTTCAACATCGTCCATCTCAATGTCTTGAGCAGGTTCTTCCGCTTCTCCCATCGGTTCATCTTGAACAGACTGTCGTTCCACTTCTGGAGTTGGAACCACGGTATCGTCATTGTTCCTTGTCACATGGATGATCGTTCCAGAAGCTGGCGACGGCGTGTCATAGATACCGCCCACCTCACGCTCGTCCAGCTTTACCGATCGTGACACCTTGACCTTGGATGCATCCAAGTCGTAGACACGATACCCTTTTACGTTCTCTGCGTATCCGAGGAACGTGCACCTGAAACTCTTGGGTTCCAATTTCGTTCTCTTCACGTCATTCACGTGAGCGTACCCTTGTGATCCAAACACGCGTAGGTGTTCCATCCGTGGCTTCACTTGGAACGCCAGCTCATATGGCGTGACATCCGAGTTGGATGTGTTCGTGGAACGGTTGATAAGGTACACTGCAGTACTCACCGCTTCAGCCCACCACTCCGTCGACATAGACTTGTAGTGTAGCATGCTTCGTGCCTTCTCCATGATGGTACGGTTCATGCGTTCCGCAACACCGTTCTGCTGAGGGCTGTATGGAACGCTGCGTTGATGCACGATGCCATACCGCTGACAGAGTTCCAATACCGTCTTGTTTACAAACTCCGTTCCATTATCGGAACGCAGGCACTTCAATCGTTCCCCCCACTGATTTTCATACAGCGCCTTGAACTCCTTCAGCTTGCTGCCCACCTCACTCTTGCTCTTCATGAAGAATGTCACGACATACCTTGAGTAGTCGTCTACAAAGGTCAGCACGTACTTGGCACCCCCCTTTGAGAGCGTTCTCATTGGTCCCATAACGTCCGTGTGTACTAGTTCCAACACACGCGTTGTCTTCGTCAGTGATCGTGACGGGAACGCCGTCACGGTCTGCTTTCCCTTCATGCATCCACCGCACAAAGTCTCGCACCCCCTTCTTACTGGCGGGATACCGGTCGTGGAACGCTGGGTCTTCGTCAGTGCGTCCTTGTTGGGGTGACCCATGCGAGCGTGCCAAAGCTCTCACTCGCTGTCAGGACCGGCGTATTCCACGAAACGGGCCTCCTCCTGCTGACAGTCCAAAAGGAACGCCTTACCGACCTTCTTCCCTGACGCTATTGCAGCGTTCCGTCCCCAAATTACACAACTGGAACGCTGGAACTCCACACTCATACCGCGTTCCGCGAGCTTCCCGACTGACAATAAGCGTCTATCGAGCCCGGGGATGTGGAGCACGTCCACCATACGGATGCGTCTACCGTCCAAACCAGTCAACTTGACCGTTCCAGTTCCTGCGACGTGCAGCTTCTTGCCGTCTGCAATCGTCACCTCCATGCTAGTGTCCAACGATTTGTACTCAAACAGGTCGTTCCGGTGAGGGGTCATGTGCGACGTCGCACCGCTATCAATCAGCCACCCGGCCGAGCGTTCCCCACCAACTGCAAACACTGCATCATCTTGGCTACCCTTCTTCGGAGCAGGACAGTCCCGCTTCATGTGGTCCACGA